CTTCCTTGGGGCCTGTGGCATTCTTACCTGCTTGGATCCTGCCACTGAACTATGCCAATTGTCAGGCCAGATCACAGACCCTTCTACCCTCCTATGCAGGTCCTGAGTCAGGTAGTCAAAAGAAAAACTGAGTAGCCACAGGCAAAGTAGACATGCTTTATTCTTCAGATGTGAGCTCCACTGACCAATGGTTCAGAGCTGCTGGCTTCCATACCTAAGTGAAATACACAATAGCGGCAATGAGCCAAGTGGTACCCGGATGCACATGCGCACTAACTCTACTCTCTATGTAACTTGTTTACAACAGATCTACTGAATCACACCCAGCTGCGTATGAGGCAAGAGGGCCTGACCAAACCAACTCTACTTTCCTCACACCATATATCAAGCTACACTCTGCACCAGTATCTGCCTACACCAATACACGCTGCACATTTGTCCCTGACCAATGTATTGCCAGTATGAGGCAAGAGGGCCTGACCAAACCAACTCTACTTTCCTCACACCATATATCAAGCTACATTCTGCACCAGTATCTGCCTACACCAATACACGCTGCACATTTGTCCCTGACCAATGTATTGCCAGATCAACATGAGGCCTCTGGTCCTCACCTGACCCCCAAAGGCAAGCACCTTGGCCTGCTCCCTAATTGAAATGGAATAGTCCATCTGCATCTGTGGGAGTAACCAAAAAATCCTTTAAATTCACTGGGCATACCTTGCCACCTGTTTCCAGATGTTTAGTGAAACACTGTTCATGGCGCAATTGCTGCCACAAGGCAAACAGGACCACATTTGGTTGCCAGTCAATTTTCTTGCTATCAACCACTGCTGTGAGCAAGTAAAGAATATGCTTATGGCTGGTCTTGCTTGATCCCCTTGGGATAAAATCCCAAGCATTTCTTGAGGGTTTAGTCTTCACCACCTTTCGGACTCCTTTTACTTGTCTCCTCTCCTCCACTTTGCCCAGACTGGCCATCATGGTCTTTATTTCTTGTATAGGATGGCCAATGTATGGGGCTATATGGCCATCAGTGACCCAAAGGATGTTAGTGGGACATTTTGCAGCACTATGTTTCTCATGTCGCCTGTATAATGTTCATCATCCAGACCACAGATTTTCATATTAAACATGGACTGACACACCTCCAGCTCCCAAACCAATTCAGCATACATTTGAACCAACTCAGCATACATTTGCCATTTAATCACCATTTGGGGCAGTTCTCCAGTGTTCACCCACACAGTTCAAACAGCTGCATTCAACCAATCCATTAAAGAGTGATTACCCAGCCCTTATGCATATCCGCGGTTGTTCTATAGCCACTGCCACAGGGATGGGTGCATGGTAATGGAGGCTAACTTTTCTATCTCCTCACCAGAGCACATCACACTGTCCACCCCTAGGTCCCATAACCACAGCATCTAGACAGCCAGGGGCTCTCCCTGTTTCTTCTGTAACTGTTTCCCCAACTCAACTAATTCAACCTGGATATATGGGACATAGGTAGTGAATTGGGTCACCTGTGGATTGCCCACCAGTTATTTGTCTGGTCCCACTGGGTTTGTCATCATCTCTGGTGATGGAAGTAGGGATGACCCGTTGCTGCACTTCATCCTCCAGGACAAGTATCCACACTTACAACAAGTCTGCTTCTCCTAGCAATGTTTGTATTTCTCTATTCAACTCACTTCTTTACATTTCCATAGCTTGCATACTAATCTATCATCTCTTGCCTAGGCTACTGAAATAGGCACCTAAAATAACTCCCCATAGCTACTTCTTCACGCTCCTTCCCCATACTGTAGCCAGGGTAATAGCTCCCAAACTCAAATCTCATCAAGTTACTCTGCTAATTAAAGCCTTTCGTTCATTGGCTCCCAATTGCTGTTGAAACCAAAATGCAAATACATGTCATATAAAAAATCTCATATTTTCCAGCCATACATCAACATCCAGCTTATTCTTTCCTGACCTCCACTAGCACTAAACTTCTTTGTATTTTATAAAAAGTGAAACATACTAAAACCAAAAGTTTTGTTTTTTTGTTGTTTGTTTGTTTCACATATTGGTGCTTTATCTGGGGACTCTTGGGAGGTTCTATCCTCCTACCTCACATCAGATCTCAGTTCATTTGTCACATATTTAAAGAAGTATTAGCTGAATCCAGTGACAAGTTCAGATCCCTCTACTTTATATTCTCATAAGTACTACACATCTTTTCTTCATAATACCTATCAAATTTTAATCAACCAATATTTATTGAGCATCTATTATGGGTCAGGAATTCCTTTAAATAGTAGGGATACAACAGGTATACAAATAGGTAAAAATCCTTGCCTTCATGGAGCTTAGATTATAGGGGGAGGGGTGAAACAGATATTAAAATTTTAAAAGATATAAGAAAAAGCAAACTATTCTGAAAAAAGAAACTAAATTTTATTTTTATATTAGTCTAGTTAATTAATGTTTATGAATCAAGCTAGAACATAAAGGCCAATTCGAACATTGTCAAAAATGGTTACTGATATTTTGCTGAGGTTAGTACTACCTTTTTCTTTCTTTCTTTTTTTTTTTTTTTGACTTTAAAAACAGTGAAGGATCGTAGAGATCAAGGATAGAGATGCCACCTTGAAGGGGTTCTCATGACCC